GACATCCTGCTACTCCCACCAATCCCTTCCCATTGCGCTGATTTTTTTCTGTCCGCACATGGGTGTCACAGCGGACCTGGACATCCCAGATCGCCCCTTCGTGCTATACGCAATCAGACACAGCTGAGAGGAGAGGGGCAAGCTAAACGCTCTCGCGCCACATCTAACATCCTGTATACCCCTCACACCCACCACTTCCCATTGCGCTGATGTGTCTCTACCAGCCCACGCGTGCCCGAGCGGATCTGAATCCCCCGAGAGACCCCCATTGCGTCAGCCAGAAAAGGGAGTTGTGCACACTGGAAGCGGAGGAGGATTTTTTGGCGGAGGAAGACGAGGAGGAGGAAGGACGTGGCGCAGCAAAAACAGCAGCGGGAGCAGGAGGAGCCGGCGGGCCAAGAGAGGGCCGAGGAGGGGAGCGCAGGGGCGCAGCAGCGATGAGGCAGGCGTCGGGTCCAGGAGTGCGGCCCGCGCTGTGGCGAGAGCGCGATTTCTGAACGACGGGGGCAGAGCGCCGATCCTTGACTGTGGCCAGTGCTGCAGCGGCACCACCGCTTTCGGAAGAAAAAACACTACAATTTTGACGGGACAAGACCGCATCGAAGGCCAACTCTAAGAAATCCCAGTGGAACACACATTGCCGTGGACACGTACCCCGCCCATCGGCACCACGACGTGCTCGTAGCAACGAGCGCTGTTCACCGACGATGGCATGCCAAGGAACCGCATTTGTTGTGAAGACCCAAAGGGATGTTGAAGCGGCGCACGACTCGCAGGACAGGTTTGAATGCGGCGGTGCTTCAGGATAGGGCATGGCAGAAAAGCAAGGGAAACAAGCCAAGGACAGTTGCGCGACCGAGGAACCCCACATACTCATGATATGTATGGCGTGATGATATCTGAAGTGGTACTTGTGAGAATAATGTTGGCGGCCGTGGCTTCGCCGATGCCGGCGTTGACGCCGGTCAAGCCTTGGGAGCCTGCCAGTTCGGCGCCCATCTCTCGCATTGATGTCTTGAGCTGCAGGCTGCTCACATGGCGGTGGCAGCGCGGACATGGCGCATTTGGGCGCCTTTGACGGACAGTCACCGGCGGTCGTCCGCGTTCACGTATCGAGCAGTCTGATCCTGCATGCGCCAATGTGGCGACACTTCTTGATGATGATGACGACGATGATGATGATGATGATGATGATGACGATGACGATGATGATGATGATGATGATGATGATGATGATGATGATGATGATGATGATGATGATGATGATGATGATGATGATGATGATAGCGCCCCCCCTTGCGTGCCCCTGTGGCCTCAAGAAAACGCCACGCGCGCAAGGCCCTGGGACACAGCACCCTCTGCGCACCCCCTGTAGTGTCGAGAAAGGGCCACGTCTGTTATGCCCTGCGCACCCTCTATGGTGTCGAGAAAGTGCCACGCCTGCTATGCCCTAGACGACAGGCGCGTTTAGCGGCCGCGCTCAGAGACCACCCCCCTGCGCACCCCCAATCGTGACGAGTAAGTGCCACGCCTGCTATGCCCTGCACGACCGGCGTGCGTAGCGGCCGCGCTCAGAGACCACCCCTTGCGCACCCCCTATGGTGTCGAGAAAGTGCCGCGCCTGAAATGCCCTGCGCGACCGGCGTGCATAGCGGCCGCGCTCAGAGACCACCCCCTGCGCAGCCCCTATGGTGTCGAGAAAGTGCCACGCCTGCTATGCCCTGGACGACGGGCGCGCGTAGTGGCCGCGCTCACAGACCACCCCCCGCGCTCTCCCAATGTGACGAGTAATTGCCACGCCTGCTTCGCCCTGCACGACCAGCGTACCACGCCTGCTTTGCCTTGCGCGACCGGCGTGCATAGCAGCCGCGTTCCCACCGACCCCCTGCGCACCCCCTATGGTGTCGAGAAAACAGCACGCCTCCTATGCCCTGCACGACCCGCGTAGCGGCCGCACTCAGAGACCACCCCCTGCGCACCCCCATGGTGTCGAGAAGGTGCCGCGCCTGCTATGCCCTGCACGACCGGCGTGCATAGCGGCCGCGCTCAGAGACCACCCCCTGCGCACCCCCTGCGGTGTCGAGAAAATGCCACGCTTGCTATGCCCTGGACGACCGGCGTGCATAGCGGCCGCGCTCACGGACCACCCCCCTTCGAACCCCCAATGTGACGCGTAAGCGCCACGCCTGCTATGCCCTGCACGACCGGCGTGCATACCGGCCGCGCTCAGAGACCACCACCTGCGCACCCCCTATGGAGTCGAGAAAGTGCCACGCCTGCTGTGCATGGACGACTGGGCCTGGTCGTGGCGCATACGTCTTGGGTGTAGGATCCAGTGAGCACGCCAAGCGTGCACTGGCGTTGTTGGTTTGTGTGAATGCGCGCGTGTCTGCATGCGTGTCTTGTGTCTTGTGTGCCTTTTACGTGTGCGGGGTTGTAGGTGGACGCGTGTCTCAATGTGTGTGTGTGCGTATGCGCGCGTGTGTATGCATGCGTGTCTTGTGTCTTGTGCGCCTTGTGCACGTGTATGATGTGTGTGCGGCTGTAAGTGGACGCGTGTCTCAATGTGAGTGTTTGATGCAATCAACACGCCAGGCGTGCACTGGCGTTGTATGGTGTGTGGGTGCGAGTGTGTGCATGCGCGCCGGCCCCCCATGTGTGTGGAGTGGGCTACCACGGCTGGTACTCCTTGCATCACTGGTGGCACAACGTGGCTCTCCTACTTCGTGGTGCTCCTCTTCCTCCCGTGCGTCGACCTGGTCAAGTGGCGCGTCCTTCCCGCAGTACGTGAGGATGGTGTTCGCGAAGCGCCGATGACGGCTACACCATCGCCCCCTTTTTCTTCCCGGGACTTCACCACCGGGCTCCTGTCCAAGGTGTACCTGTTCCTGCACGTCCCGTTCGGCACCGCCTGATCCCCGGGCCCCGCCCGCTCCTGGCCGCGTGAGGCCGCCCGCCCTCGCCCCCCTCTCTGTCAATCCAAGCCGCGCGCGTCCCGCGGAGCTTTTAGCGGAAGAGGATCGCTCTCGCCCTGCAGATCAAAAAGTGTGCATGCGCGCGGCCGTATGTAGACGCGTGTCTCATGTACGCGCCGTGCATGTGTTGCGCGAGGGTGAGGGGAGGAAGGATAAGGAGGAGGAGGAGGAGGAGGAGGAGGAGGAGGAGTGACGAGGAGGGAGGTGAGGAAGACGCGGATGCGACGCGGCAGGGAAGAAAACAAGAACCCGACTAAACATGTGGGGAACAAAACGATAACAATACATAGGCGACTGAGGACTGCATGGAGAGCATGAACGGCGAAGTCTCGATCGGGTCCCGTAGAACGTCCGTTCGCTGGACCTCCCAAGGGCCCACGAATATCACGACAATTGCGCATGTCGCAACCGCAAAGGAGAACGAGGTCTCGACGAGATCCGAGTAGGACACCACTCTGGTGGACCTCCCAGGAACCCACGAAGGCGGTGACAGTTTCACAATTCGCAGCCCCCCAGAGAGAGGGCAAGGAGTCGTTCGGATCCGCGAGGACAGCACGCTGCCAGACCTCCCAGGGGCACACGACAAGGGAGACAGTTGCGCAATTCGCGACCCCAGGTGCCATTTCACTCAAGCTGCTCCACCAGTGGGCAGCAGCAGAGAGGCCGCTCACAGGCCCCCAGGGCGGCGCCTGCAGCCTAACGTACGATCCGAAACAGTCGATCAAAACATAATCAAACACTGATTTTGGGAAAAGGCTGCAAGCGCTCGTGGTAGTAGATCTGCCACGCTCTCTATTGCACTGCGGCGACCGCCGAGCTTGAAAAAATTGCAGAGTGGGATACGAGGACAAGGTCTTGGCTGGGTCCGCATAGGACACCACTTCGCTGAACCTCCCGGGAGCCAACCAAAGTGGCGACGACTGCACAGTTGGGCGACGTCTCGACCGAACCCGAGCGCGTAACACACCAGTTCGCTGTTGCTCCCACGTGCCCACGAAGGCGGCGATAGTCTCGCAGCTCGCGACCCCCCAGGGAAGGCGAGGTCCTGCCTGGGCCCGTGCAGGGCAGCACTCCTCTGGACCTCCAGGGCGCCACGAAAATGGAGACTGCTTCGCAGACAGTACGCCCCCAGGGACGCCGAGGCCTCATGCTGATCTGGGCAGCCCCGCGGTGTGGTCGACACCCCAGGAGCCCACGAAAGCAATGACAGCTTCGCAGATAGTAGCCCCCAGGGACGCCGAGGCCTCACGCTGATCTGGGCAGCCTCGCACGCGGTCGACAAGCCCAGGAGCCCACGAAAGCGGTGACAGCTTCGCAGATCGCATCCCCCAGGGACAGCGAGGTCTCATTATGATCTGGGCAGCCCCGCGCTGCGCTGGAACTCCGAGAAGCCCACGAAGGCGGTGACAGCTTCGCAGTTCGCAGCACCCCATGGAAGAGAAAGCAGGAACCACTCCAGACTCAGGAAAGCAAGAAGTAAGAGACAGGAGGGAGACTGGAGCACGGAGGCGGGAGGAGGGCACGGAGACCATAGCGTTTTTTTTACGAGGTCTAATGCAGGAGCGTTGGGAACAACACACGAAATAGTTGTTCTCAAATCAGGACGACATCAGGGGAGCGGGGCAAGTATGACTCATGTTGGGCAGCTGTGGGAGAAGCGATGGACTGGGGGACACTCCTCTCTTCCCGTCCCTTCCCGTCCCTTCCCTCACATCTCCTCCTCCTTTTGGGTTCCTTTCCGTCCCTTCCCCTCATCCCTCCTCCTCCTCTCCCCTCCCCTCCCCCCTCCTCCTCCCTCCTCCTCCCTTCCCCGTCCTTCCCCTTCCTCCTCCTCCTCCTCCTCCTCCTCTCGTCCTCCTCCTTCTCCTCCTCCTCCTCTCTCCTCCTCCTCCTCCTCCTCCTCCTCCTCCTCCTCCTCCTCCTCCTCCTCCTCCTCCGTTCCATCCCCTGCGACCCCTCCCCTGCAGGAGCGGCCTGGGGAGACGCTCCGACAGCGAATCTCCCCCCCCTCCTCCCCTCGGGCGCCTGGCGTTCGCCATCAGCGGGTTGACCGCCGCGGCGCCGCCCGCGCCGCCCGGCCGCGAGCCCGCCGTGGTGGGCCGCGAGCCGGCGCCGCTCCTGGCGGGCGGGGGGCCTGCCCTCCTCGCTCCTCGCTCGCTCGCGCGCCTCCTCCGCCTTGCTCCTGCTTCCTTCGCCGCCTCCTCCTCCTCCTCCTCCTCCTCCTCCTCCTCCTCCTCCTCCTCCTCCTCCTCGTCATCGTCATCGTCATCGTCATCGTCATCGTCGTCGTCATCATCGGCAGCATCAGCATCATCAACATCATCATCAGCAGCAGCATCGTCAACATAATAATCATCATCATAATCAGCATCATCATCATCATCACCATCATCATCATCATCATCATCCTCATCATCATCAGCATCATCATCACCATCATCGTCATCATCGTCATCATCGTCATCATCATAATAATCAGCATCAGCATCGGCATCAGCATCAGCATTATCATGAGAAGCAGCAGCATCATTATCCGGATCGCCACCGTCATCATCAGAAGCAGCAGCATCAGCAGCATCAGCATCAGCATCATCACCGTCATCACCATAAATATTCTCACCAACACCAACATCGACATCATCGTCACCACCACCACCATCATTAACAGCAGCAGCATCAAAATATGATTCATCACCAGCGGCACGAAAAACGTCATAATCAGTATCATCATCCTCTTCATCCTCCTTATCATCATCATCATCATCATCATCATCATCATCATCATCATCATCATCATCATCATCATCATCATCATCAGCATCGTCCGCAACAGCACTATCGTCACGTTCAGCATTATCCACATCATCATCATCATCATCATCATCATCATCATCATCATCATCAGCATCATCATCATCATCATCATCATCATCATCATCATCATCATCATCATCACCATCAGCACCAGAAGCATCACCATCCTAACCATTAACATCAGCATCGCCACCAACGCCATTATCACCACCGGCACCATCACCATCACCATCACCGTCACCATTATCATCGCCATGGTCAGCAGAAGTATCATCATCAGCATGACCATCATCATCATCATCAGCAGCAGCATCATCAGCATCATCATCAGCACCATCATCAGCATCCCCATCACCATCAGCCTCATCATCATCATCATCATCAGCACCATCAACATCAGTATCAGCATCATCATCAGCATCATCATCAACATCATCACCAGCAGACGCATCATCATCATCATCATCACCACCATCATCATCATCATCATCATCATCATCATCATCATCAGCATCATCATCAACAGCACCATCAGCATATGAGCATCATCAGCATCATCATCACCATCACCATCAGCAACACCGACATCATCATCAATCGCAACAGCATCAGAACCACCATCATCATACTCCGCATCGTCGCGTCTTCCCTCCCGTCTCGTCACCGTCGTCGTCCTCCTCCTCCTCCTCGTCCTCCTCTTCCTCCTCCTCCTCCTCCTCTTCCTCCTCCTCCTCCGCCTCCTCCTCCTCCTCCTCCTCCTCCGCCTCCTCCTCCTCCTCCGCCTCCTTCCACGGGCAGGAGTGGGCGGGGACCGGGAGAATTCCCCGGGGAACTATCCCAGCACAGAGGCGCCAATGGGGCGCCCAACGGGTGGGCGCGGAGCGAACACCTGGGGACCCCCGCCCAACGACCTACGAAGTACGGACTGCTCGACGCGGGGATCCCCACATGTGCATCCCCTGTGCATGGCACCCTTCACTGAAGAGTGCTTGGTTCTGAAGATCTGTGCGTGTATGTGTGCTGGCGCCCCCCCCCCCTTGGGTTGGTGAAGCCAGCGCATCGCGCGGGACATCCTCGCAGGCTGCCAGAGAAGCGCGGAGGAGATGGAAGAGGAGGCCGCGGGGAGGAGAGGCGTGAAAAGGGGAATGAGGCGGGGGAGGAAGAGGCGGATGAAAGGGCGTAGATGTTTTTCGCCAGGGTCGGTTTTCGCCCTGTGCGTTTCGGCCAGTTCGTTTCGCCCGGGTTTGCTTTCGCCCGGTTGGCTTTCGCCCAGGTTGGCTTTCGCGGGTTGGCTTTCGCCTGGGTTGGTTTTCGCCCGTTGGCTTTCGCCCGGTTGGCTTTCGCCCAGTCTGGCTTTCGCCCGGTTGGCTTTCGCCCGGGTTGGCTGTCGCCTGGGCTCGTTTTCGCCTGGGTTCGTTTTCGCCCTCCTCTTCCTCTTCTCCTCTTCCCGCTCCTGTTCTTTCATGCTGCTGCTGCTGCTGCTGCTGCTGTTGCTGCTGCTGCTGCTGCTGCTGCTGCTGCTGCTGCTCCCCTCCCTCCCCTCTTCCTCTGGCTCCTCTTGCCCGCAGCCGGTTGGCTGGAGCCCGACCCAACCCGCCCGTTAGGGTCCACCCGACACGCCCCGCCCGTTAGGGTCCGCCCGCCCGATCGGACCCGCACCCTAGGGTTCGCACGTGCGCACTCGAGCGCGCCCCCACACTTTAATGTCCCGCCCACCTGACCCGACCTGCCCGTTAGGGTCCGCCCGACCCGACCCGACCCGTCCCGCCCGTTAGGGTCCGCCCGACCCGACCCGACCCGCCCGTTGAAGTTCGCGCGAGCTCGTTCTGGCGCGCCCAACACTTTAGTGTCCCGCCCGCCCGACCGACCCGACCCGCCCGTCAGGGTCCGCCCGGCCCGGCCCGACCCAAACCGCCCGTTAGTGTCCGCCCGCCCGACCCGACCCGCCCGCTAGGGTCCGCCCGACCCGACCCGACCTGACCCGCCCGTTAGGGCCCGCCCGACCCGACCCGACCCGTCCCGCCCGTCAGGGTCCGCCCGCCCAGCCCGACCCGCACGCTAGGGTTCGTGCGTGCTCACTCGAGCGTGCCTCCACACTTTAGTGTCCCGCCTTCGACCCGACCCGCCCGTTAGGGTCCGCCCGACCCGACCCGACCCACCCGTTAGGGTTCACGCGTGCTCACTCGAGCGCGCCCCACACTTTAGTGTCCCGACCCGATCCGCCCCGCCCGTTAGGGTCCGCCCGACCCGACCCGACCCACCCGTTAGGGTTCACGCGTGCTCACTCGAGCGCGCCCCACACTTTAGTGTCCCGCCCGCCCGACCCGACCCGCCCGTTAGGGTCTGCCCGACCCGACCCGACCCGCCGCCCGTCAGGGTCCGCCTGCCCCACCCGACTCGCCCGTCAGGGTTCACGCGTGCTCACTCGAGCGCGCCTCCACACTTTAGTGTCCCGCCTTGCCCGACCCGACCCGCCCGTTAGGGTCCGCCCGACCCGAACCCGTCCCGCCCGTTAGGGTCCGCCCGACCCGACCCGACCCGCCCGTTAGGGTCCGCCCGGCCCGACTCGACCCGACCCGCCCGTTAGGGTCCGGCCGACCTGACCCGACCCGTCCCGCCCGTCAGGGTCCGCCCGCCCGACCCGACCCGCCCGTTAGGGTTCGCGCGTGCTCACTCGAGCGTACCTCCATACTTTAGTGTCCCGCCTGCGAGACCGGAACCGACCGTTAGGGTCCGCCCGACCCGACCTGATCCGCCCCGCCCGTTAGGGTCCGCCCGACCCGACCCGACCCGCCCGTTAGGGTCCGCCCGACCCGACCCGACCCGCCCCGCCCGTCAGGGTCCGCCCGCCCGAACCGACCCGCCCGTGAGGGTTCACGCGTGCTCACTCGAGCGTGCCTCCATACTTTAGTGTCCCGCCTGCAGCCCGACCCGACCCGCTAAGGTTTGCTCGACCCGACCCGATCCGCCCCGCCCGTTAGGATCTGCCCGACCCGACCTGACCCACCCGTTAGGGTTCACGCGTGCTCACTCGAGCGCGCCCCGCACTTTAGTGTCCCGCCCGCCCGACCCGACCCGCCCGTTAGGGTCCGCCCGGCCCGACCCGACCCGACCCGCCCGTTAGGGTCCGCCCGACCCGATCCCGTCCCGCCCGTTAGGGTCCGCCCGCCCGACCCGACCCGCCCGTCAGGGCCCGCTCGCCCGACCAGACCCGCGTGTTAGGGTCCGCCCGGCTCGACCCGACCCGTCCCGCCTGTTAGGGTCCGCCCGCCCGACCCGACCCTCCCTTTAGGGTCCGCCTGGCGGGTTTCTCGGCTCGGCGCTGCCCGCTGCCCGTCCGTGCGCTGCCCGCTGCCCGCCCTGCAACAAGGGTCTCGAGCCTCTTCCTTCCTCGCCGCGCCACCGCCCCCTACTCCTGCACGGCGACTTCCGGCCCTGACTTCCGACCCCCAGATTTGTTTACGCCGTCGGCTCCCTGGGGTCCGCAGTCGTTCCCAAGGACATACTTTTATCCTGGCGCGTCCTAGGTAAGGACGTCATGGCCTCCCTGCGGCCGACCCCGGCCCAAAAAACTGACCGTTTTGTTTTTCTCGGGCGTCGGAAGTCTCGGACCAACGCCCCCACCAGCTGCGACCGCCACCACGACCGCCAGCCGCTTCTGGAAGCGGCCCGACACAAGAAATTGCCATTACCATTCATCGCCTGCCCCTGAGTCTGCCCCGCCTGCTCCCCGCCCGGCCCTGGCGAAAGCCAACCCTGGCGAAAGCCAACCCCGGCGAAAGCCAACCCCGGCGGAAGCCAACCCCGGCGACAGCCAACCCGGCGAAAGCCAACCGGGCGAAAGCCAACCCGGCGAAAGCCAACCCCGGCGAAAGCCAACCCCGGCGAAAGCCAACCCCCGGCGAAAGCCAACCCCGGCGAAAGCCAACCCCGGCGAAAGCCAACCCCGGCGAAACGAAGCCCGGCGAAACGAAACCCGGCGAAACGAAGCCCGGCGAAAGCCAACCCCGGCGAAAGACATCCGTGCCGATGAAAGGGGGGGGACGACGAGAAATGGGAATGGGAAGGGGAAGAGGATGAGGAAGAGGGAGGGGGAATGGGGAAGAGGGGGGAGGAGGAGGGAGGAGAGGAGGAGGAGAGAGGGTAGGAGGGAGGAGGAGGAGGAGGAGAACCCCCCTCCTCTCGTCCTCCTCCTCCTCCTCCTCCTCCTCCTCCTACTCCTCCTCCTCTCCTCCTCCTCCGCCTCCTCCTCCTGATCCTCCTCCTCCTCCTCCTCCTCCTCCTCCTTCTCTTTCTCCCCTCCCTCCCCCTCGTATTCCCCCTCCTCGTCATCCCGGCTTGGGCGCAGCAGCTAAGGTCCGCGGAGACTCCCTGCCTGCCGCCGAGGCAGAGGAGACTCGGGGCGGACGAAAGGGAGGACGGCAAAGGGAAGCCCAGCGCCTCAGCTCACGTTGTGCGGCTTCCCCTGCCGCCCCCCTGGCACCGGAGGCGCCCACGCATCGCAGCGAAGCGCCCGTCGGCGGGGCCGAGACCAGCTGCACGCAGCAGGCGTCGCGTACACCCGCCCTCCTCCTCGGCGGCGCGCCCGGGGGGGGTCAGTGAGAGGAGGCGGGCCTCCTCGGAAGGCGGCGGGGCTGCTCCGAAGGCATCCCCTGGCCTCCCGAGAAACTCCCCCTGTGGCTTCGGAGAGGGCTCCGGCAGCTCCTCGGGAGACCCGAGAGGCCCTTGGCGAGCCTCCCGAGGAGGTCCGCCTCCCTCTGCCCGCTGCCCCCCTGGGCATGCCGCTGGCCTTCCCCGTTCCCCCCCTCCTCCCCCTCCTCCTCCTCCTCCTCCTCCTCCTCCTCCTCCTCCTCCTCTCCTCCTCCTCCTCATCCTCCTCCTCTTCCTCCTCCTCCTCCTCCTCCTCCTCCTCCTCCTCCTCCTCCTCCTCCTCCTACTCCTCCTCCACTATCCTCCTCCTCCTCCTCCTCCTCCTCCCCTCCTCCTCACTCCTCCTCCTCCTCCTCCGCCTCCTTCCTCCTCCTCCTCTCCTCCTCCTCCTCCTCCTCCTCTCTCCTCTCCTCCTCCTCCTCCTCCTCCTCATCCTCCCTCCTCCTCCTCACTCCTCTCCTCCCCTCCTCCTCCTCTCCGCCTCCTCCTCCTCTCCTCCTCCTCCGCCTCCTCCTCCTCCTCCTCCTCATCCTCCTCCTCCTCCTCCTCCCCCCTCCTCCTCCTCCTCCTCCTCTCCTCCTCCTCCTCCTCCTCCTCCTCCTCCTCCTCCTCCTCCTCCTCCTCCTCCTCCTCCTCCTCCTCCTCCTCCTCCTCCCCCCACACGGGGCTGGGGAAGATGCGGCCGGAGGATACCCCGCACCGCAGCACCGAGGCATCCCCCGAGGCACCCGGGGCGACGCTGGAGCGGAGCGGCGGGCCCCAGCCAGAGGTATACTCGGCACTCGGGAGTCGCGGCGTGGGTCCGAGGAGCGGCCCCGCACACCAGAGCCCCTCCGGAGCCCCACGTGGTCATCGTGTCCGCGCCTCGGTCTGAGAGACCCCCTCCTCGGGCCCAGCGGTACGTGTGGACGACCGGTCTGGGCACAGAGAACATGGGCACCTGGGCAGCAGCGAGATGATCTCCAGCGGCGCCTTCGGCCGCTGCTTGGCGGGCGGTGTGTAGGTGGGCAACGTCCGCACCGACACACACACACACACACACAGCGAAGCCTGCTCAACATGGACAGGTTCTGCGGTCGAACTTCGTCGGAGTCAGGGGGCCCCGACGCTCTTACTTCTCGCCCTGCGCGCGCGTGGTTGGATAGACGGCCTGGCTTCTGGGTGCTACACATTGGGGCACGTGGACGCTATTTGAGGGTGCACTTGGGGGGTCCGCCCGCGCCGCCACCCCCTCACTCTGATGCCCAAGCGCGCAGTGCTGTGGCCCCCCTTTTCTCTTCCTGCATCCGCCTCGCTCGTGCCGAGGGTCGGCAGCGACGGCAGGGGCGAATAGCCCAGGGGCGGGCATTACTCGCATTCGCCCGGGAGCCCTTTCGAAGACATGGATCATCGGCGCACCCGAATCCATGTTTTGCTCTCCCCTGGGCTATTCGCCCCTATCATCGCCTCTGAGGAGGGCCCTGGCGCGGCCCGGCGGCGACCCCCGGCGAGCTCCTGGGCCGGCCGGCCGTGCTCGGTCGGGAGCCGGCCGAGGAGCCGGGGCGCTCGAGCGAGCCCCCCGCCTTCGTCAGCGCGAAGGTCTCCGCGTCCGCCTCCTCCTCTGGGGCACCCCGGCGGGCCGGCACCCACTCGAGGATCCGGGGGGAGGAGGGGGAGGAGGGGGAGGAGGAGGAGGAGGAGGAGGAGGAGGAGGAGGAGGAGGAGGAGGAGGAGGAGGAGGAGGAGGAGGAGGAGGAGGAGGAGGAGGAGGCGGAGGAGGAGGGAGGAGGAGGAGATGAGGAGGAGGAGGAGGAGGCGGAGGGGAGGAAGGAGAGGAGGAGGAGAGGGAGAAGGAGGAGGAAAAGGAGGAGGAGGAGTAGGAGGAGGAGGAGGAGGAGGAAGAGGAGGAGGAGGAGGAGAAGAAGGAGGAGGAGCGACCGTACCTTCCGTCAGTCCCTCAGGCGTCTATGGCCTCAAGGCATGCAGTGCAGTGGCCGGGCACTCCGTGCCTGCTTTGTACTTAAGCGCGGCGCCAGGCGCTGCGAGACTGCAAGCGCGTAGCTTGTTGTAAAAGTGAAATGAAAGAGCGGTCCGCCGTATGGACTCGGCCAGTGAGTGCTCAGGAATGTCGTGCAGCCCAGCCGCCCCTAAGCCGATGCGGGCGAGGGGGTCGGGCGAGAGGAAGGCACGGGGCAAGGCAAGGAAGTGCAGGAAGCGGGGGCAGGAGAAGTAATGGCCGAGACGGTCTTGGCAGCCGCTGCATCCTAGCAAACAACTCCTGCGCGGGCCGAATGGGAAGCGGTGGCTTGTCCACCATGCTCCTGCCAGCGTCTTATAAACTGGTCAGCGGATCGCGGGGCCTTTCTTGGATAGCCCTGTTGCGAGCGTCTGCCAGCGCTCGTCGAGATTCGCTGGGATCTGTACTGTGGGCATCGCTGCGTGCAAGCGGCGGGCCAGGGTTTCGGCGAACTTGTCGGGGAAGAGGGAGGCGTGGAGGACCGAGGTGAGCGTCCGCTGAGCCCTGGCCCTCCGTTGCTGCTGAGCGGCAGACATCAGCTCGGCTTCTGCCGCTCGCTTAGCTTGCTGCCAAATGGGCAGCGGAATTTTATATGGTGGCGTCGTTTTGCCAAGTGCGTGCCAGTAGTCTACTATTCCGTAGCTCTTCCAAAAGACAGGAGAGACAGTGGCCCGAATTTGGGCCTGGGCCAGGTCCGCGAGGGAAAGTTCTGGATTCAGCTGGTCGTGCGCACGCTGAAGGGCATGAAAGAGGAGGCGGCCATCGCGGGAGCGTTACTGTTGCCGCCCGCCAGGCTAAGACTAGCGACAGTGTGATTACAGCTGATGGGGAGGACGAGTGCGACCACGAGCGAGTGCCGAAGAGGTCGACGAGGCGCCAGGAGTTGGGGGGTGCTCTCAGGATCTTGTGCAACGTGCCCCGTTCGTGGCGAAGGAACGTGGCTGGGAGCGGAAAGTACTGGGTGAGATAAGAAAGAACGGTTATAACACATGTGTTATATAGCTTGATTGCGACTGCTGGGCCTGGAGCGCTGGCGGCAAGCTGTACAACGCGTAGCCAATATTTGTCGAATGCTGCTTCCCATTGGAGATCTAGTGTGACCTCGGGGCCTATGAGGACCCCTAGGTATCGCGCGTATCCTGCTATCTGTACATGCTGCCATTCAGGAGTGAGAAACTCGAGAAGGAGGAGGAGGAGGTGGAGGAGGCGGAGGAGGAGGCGGAGGAGGTTCCAGGGTGGAGGTCTTGGGGCGTCTTTGGTTGTGCCTCCTCGCCGCCATGCGCTGCTCGATTCGCCAATGCATCCTGGCCAGCAGGCGCCCCAGGGGAGCTCCGAGGGTCGACCTTAATCAAGACCCAGACGTCTGGCAGCTCGAAGTCCGGGCGGCCCGTTTGTTCCAGGCTGGCTCTCCAAAAGCAGCGCCAGAAGCGCCGCTCGGGGGCCCCGCGCAAATCCAAGAAGTGCATGCGGACCTTCACAAGCTCATGTCTCTTCAGTGTTTCCCGAATCGATTCTGGAGAGCCCGCCTGCATGGCACGTGCCCTCCGCGGGCCACCCCTACAGAGCAGCACCAGTCCAGGCGGGGGTGCGGATGGATTCTTTTGGGCTTGCAAGATATCAGGGCTCCTCCTACACTTCACCTGGACCCCTCGCACAACACAAGTGAGCGAAACGGCCTCTCCCCTTAGCTTGAGGGAAAGGGGGCCCACAAGAAGTCGATGGTCCCATGGCCTGGGAGAGGCCCCAGGTGTTTCAAAGGATCTCAGAGGCCCAGTAGGTCGGGACCCTCTTCCTCCATGCCAGGAATTCGAGACAGCCTCGTCCCCCTCCTCCCTCCCCGCTCGCCGCCGCAGCCACCTCCTCCTCCTCCTCCTCCTCCTCCTCCTCCTCCTCCTCCTCCCCTCCTCTCCTCCCTCCCTCTCCTCCTCCTCCTCCCCCTCCTCCCCCTCCTCCCCCTCCCTCCTCCTCCTCCTCTCCTCCTCCTCCTCCTCCTCCTCTCCTCCTCCCCTCCTCCTCTCCCGTCCTACCTCCTCCTCCTCCTCCTACTCCTCCTCCTCTCTCCTCCTCCTCCTCCTCGCCTCCTCCTCCTCCCTCCTCCTCCTCCTCCTCCTGCCTCCTCCTCCCACTCCCTCCCCTCCTCCTCCTCCTCCTCCTCCTCCTCTCCTCCTCCTCCTCCTCCTCCTTCCTCCCTCCTCCTCCTCCTCCTCCGCCTCCTCCTCCTCCTCCTCCTCCTCTCCTCCTCCTCCGCCTCCTCCTCCTCCGCCTCCTCCTCCACCCTCCCCCTCCTCCTCCCTCTCCTCCTCCTCCTCCTCCTCCTCCTACCTCCTCCTCCTCCTCCTCCTCCTCCTCTCCCTCCTCCTCCTCCTCTTCCTCCTCCTCCTCCCTCCGCCGGCTCAAAAGCCAGTCCCCCCAGGTCTATGCAGGGGTGCGTTTTGAGGAAAAGACGTCCCAGGGAAAATCCAGCCACGGCGACGAGCCGCCTCCCGCAGGCCCCCCAAAGGGCAAGACACGAGCAAAAACACGTGGCTACACGAATATCGATGCTCCAACCTTGAAACCTCCTCCTCCTCCTCCTCCAACTCCTCCTCCTCCTCCTCCTCCTCCTCCTCCTCCTCCTCCTCCTCCTCCTCCTCCTCCTCCTCCTCCTCCTCCTCCTCCTCCCCATCCTCCTCCTTTCCTTCCCCCCACCCTCCTCCTCTCTCGGGGCGCGGGGTGAGGAGGAGAAGGAGGATGAGGAGAAGGAGGAGGAGGAGGAGAAGGAGGATGAGGAGGGGGGGGGTCAGGTGGGGTATCGATGGTCTCTCTTGGTCCTCCTCGTCCCCCAAGCTGGGCTCGGGCGCAGGGGCGAAGGGCCTGTCGTCCACGTACTCCAGCGAGGTGAGCCCCGAGAGCGCCTTCTGCAAAGTCTGCAAACGAAGGCATGTGAAGCCTACCCCTGCACAGGTCAGATCTCTGAAGCACGCGCTGGGGCTCAGAACTCTGTGGACGTCTGCAGCCAGGCGCACCCCTACATGGGGCGTCCGATATATCAGCGCCGAGTGGACCTGCTGGGATCGGAGCCCAGTTCGAAAGCGAACGCTAGCCCTCGACACTCGAGCTTGAGAGAAGCTAGTCTCTTCTGCCCAGCACAGCTTGCACTACGGACCTTCGCTGCCCCGATGTGCAACACGCAACACGTAGCGTATTGATACGGAGCTCAACACGTGGACTGATGACGTAGGTCCGACGCGAGACCTTCGCCACAACGCGGGCCAATCCGCGGAGCCAGCACGCAGCGCATCGACACGGACGTTTTGAGCACGGCACGTGTTGCGTATCAAAACGGGCGCATCGAGGCAGCTACGCTACGGAATGCTTACCTCTCGCTCACGGAGCCGCCCTGCGGCTTCGGGACTTCTCGCGCGGCAGGTGCCCGCGCCCGCCACGTGCCCAACCCATGCGCTGGCTGGCGGCCCCGACTTTTCGGCGGGTGGTCGCCCGTGTCCGCCGCGTGAGCGCCGCGTGCGTTGGCCCGTGTTTCTGGTGTGCGCGCATCGACTTCGCCACGTAGCCTGCACCGCGTAGACTGCCCCCACATGTATCGATTGCTGCTGCAACCCACAGACTGCCACGCGCAGGTTGCACAGCATGGGTTGAACCAACAAGGTCGCCCCATGTTGTGCAACACGTAGATTGCAAGGCATGGCGTGCACCAAATAGAATGCAGCACGTAGTTTGCACCACAATCCTTCTCACTTCAACAAAAAAGCTATACCACCCTCCAGCGCCAGGTGTTATCGGTCCGCCTTTCCGTATTGCGAAGTCCTTACTGTTGTGCCTCATCTTTCATTTACCACGTTCCCCAAACAGTACTTGCACTTAGGGATTCCTGTATTTATTTTCTAAGGAACTGGGCTCCGTTGTCGCGTCCACCGCCTTGTGGTCGCCGTCGCCGCCCGTTGTCTCGGCTCCGTTGTCGGATCCGCCACCTTGTAGTCGCCGTCGCCGCTCCATCGCCCCCTCGTCGCCGCTCGTCGTTCTGGTTTCGTTGTCGGGTTCGCCGCCTTGTGGTCGCCCTCGCCGCCCCGTCGCCGCCTCGTCGCCGCCCGTCCTCTGGGCTCAGCTGTCGGGTCCGCCGCCTTGTGGTCGCCGTCGCCGTCCCGTCGCCGGCCCGTCGCCGCCGCCCCGTTGCCCCCTCCATAGATTCTCTGTCCTAAGAGAATATTAAGATCTACCCCCCTTCGGGGTTAACGGGCCCATCGCCCATTTTGAATACGAGCTCATACCATCCCAGGCAGGCCGGTAACGGTTCTCCCTCTCATCCTGTGCAAACCAATACTATGCGCGCATTCGTTTACCAACAATCATCAGTTTTCAAGAACCCTTCTGCAACAAAACGGGACGAAGTCCACACGCACGCGTCAAACACATTTGGATCACTTCTCTTGTTAACTTCTCGCCTTTTCGCGTCCATTGCGCTTTTGAGGCCTCAAGATGGACCCAAGATGGCCGAATTAAGAACGAAGGGTCCAAGAGGCCCCCAAGACGGCCCCAAGAGCGCCAATGAGCGCCCCAAGAGGCGATGCTGATGGCCCCAGGGGGAAGAGGAACAGTTGGGACCCCCCCTTTTCATCGATTGCCTCCTAGATGGCCCCACATCGTCGTCGTCGACACCTTCGTCACCAAATCCACCACCATCACCACGACCATCTTCGTCGTCGCCGATTTCGTCGTCACGATCATCACTCGCCCGCCCGAGTTGTGGATCTGCATGGACAAGGTGTGGACGTCATTGCGCTGGTCGAGTTTAGCGAGCAAGTTCCGACGAGTAACTGCACCCACGCCCTCAAGATGCGGGCGAGTGGGTGGGATGTTACAGTCGGGGCGTTGACCTAAGGAACCCAAAATAAGGAACGAGGCCCCTTTTCCCATAAGTTAAACTCCGATTTCCGATCGAAAACCTAAGGAAAACCTGGGGCAAGCTGCAAAACAACTAAGGAACACCGAGCCCCTCCCCAACGAAAAGGGTCCCTTCTTCAGGGCCCCGACTGTAGTTCGAGCATGGGGAGGTGGTCACGCGCGGAGTAGGCTGCACCAAACATATACCCACAAAACCAACACACACACACACACTACATGTGGCATGTGTTTTCACGCGTGCACGCCCAGGGGGGGATACCCAACATGCGGGCGGCAAATTCTCCACATGTAAAAGTACATGCGCTGAGAGGGGTACCCAGCGTTCGTTTGGTACACCTGCGCCGGCCCCGTTTTCACTTTCGAAGGTCCCCAAGCAGGACGGAGAAGGGAGCAGAAGAAAAGGAGCAGGGGGCAGGAGGAGAAGGAGGAGGAAGAGGAGGAAGAGGGGGATGACACAGGAGGCGGGACGACGAAGATGAGAGGGAAGGAAGAAGGAGGCTGAGTGAGGAGGAGGAGCAGGATGAGGAGGCGGAGGGGGGAGGAGAGGGAGGAACGGGAGAAACATACATCATGGAAGCATTGCACATAATGCCTAAACATGGCATCATGTCATAACCTTGGCATCGAGCATAATGGGAAAGTTAAACAAAGCAAGCACAGTGCAGCAAACGAATGGTACCATAGCATGGCACAGCAAAGTGACTGACATTCCTCACCTGGTGCGTGGGTCTCTCAAGCTGGGCTTCACCAGGAACCTCGGTGAACGTCCAGGAGGCAGGCTCCAGGGCGGCATTTGAGTGAAGCCGGAAATTAGAAGTTGGAAGTTCAGTGAAAGTAGAAGTGGCCAGGGCTGGAAATACTGGCAGGGGCTGCAGCGGGCCCGGCGCTATCGCAGTGAGGTCGCCAGGGAGCACAAAACTGGACAGAAACTGGCCAGGGCTGGAAAGAGTGGAAGACCTGGCCCTGGCCACCTTTTCCATCTCCCCTGTGAAACTTACCGGCGGCGCCTTGGACAGGGCCTCCTCGTCCTCCTGCAGAGGGTTCCCCTCCAGCAGCAGCTCCCGCATCGACACCATGGCCGACAGGCGCTGCACGCTCTCTGGCCGCTCCAAGAGGTTGCCGCTGAGGTCCAGTATCTCCACGGAGGGCCAGCTAGAGCTGAGGCTGGTAGGGAGATCGGCGATCTGATTCTCTGCAAGGCTCACCTCCGAGAGCTGCATGCAGGTTGGCAGGTTCCGCAGAGCGTCCGCGGTGAGCTGATTGCCAGAGACGTCCAGGGATGCGAGGCTGGGCAAAAGCTGCAGTTGCCTTCACAAGTTATGCTTGGCTGCGCCGAAGATGGGGGCAAATTACGAGGCGGGTTGGCGCATCACGGCCCGAGGCATGTGCGATGACGAGGGGGGGGGCCAAGGGAGGAGTTGAAAGACGAGGAGGGGGCGATGAAATCTGGGGGATTTCGTGGCCTGGGCCCTGATGTCCACACACCCCTAGTCCGCATCCCCCTCTTCGGCCGCCCTGGCAAATGGGGGGAGGGCTCTCCCCACCAATGGGGGGAGGGCAAAGGGGGGGAGGGCTTTCTGAGCCAGTCTAGGGCACAATCGCCATCTCACAATCCTCCAGGTGCCCAAGTCAGGGTGTGGGCTTCGATGCCAGGCCTGACGCCGAACAAATCTCGAGACGGTCATCCCAAAATCCGCTCGGCGTGACTGGCTTTCATGTGCGCACGCTTGCTCGAAAGTCTCAGGGCGGACAAGCGGGAGGGGGGGAAGCGAAGAGAAGCGAACTCCAGAGTCGTGCGTGCTCCTCTGGGGGGCTCGACCGTGCCCATCAAGGCATGGCGTGGAGGCCGTGGCATCGACGGGAAGATCTTTCAGCCAAGCTCGTGACACGTGTGCCCGCCCGTCTGAGGACCACCCCTCGGTGCACTCAGCGGCCCGGATCCCTCGTAGCAATGGGCATAGCAAAGGGGAGGGGGGGCATAGTAAAGGGGGGGGGCCCTCCCGCTGCGGGCCCTCCTCCTCCTCCTCCTCCTCCTCCTCCTCCTCCGCTGGGGGCATAGTAAAGGCGAATCAGCTCACGTAATTAGCCGGCCCTCCCGCTGCGGGCGCCTCCCGGCGCTGGAGAGGCGCGCGCGCCCCTGTCGAGGAGAGCGCCCGGCGGCAGGGGCCGAGGCCGGCTGCATGCCGCAGATCCTCCCCGTCCTCCTCCTCCCCCTCCTCCTCCTCCTCCTCCTACTCCTCCTCCTCCTCCTCCTCCTCCTCCTTCGCCTCCACTCCTCCTCCTCCCGCCTCCCCCTCCCGCCTCCTCCTCCCTCCTCCCTGCCCCCCCTCCTCCTCCTCCTCCTCCTCCTCCTCCTCCTCCTCCTCCGCCTCCTCCTCCTCCTCCTCCTCCTCCTCCTCCTCCTCCTCCTCCTGCTCCTCGGTTTCGTGCGTGGTTTTTCCCCAAATGATCAAGGGTGCTCCTCGATGGTCCTCGCCGAAGGAAAAATGCACACGTCCGAGCGATGCCAAGCAAATGTCGGGACCACACTTGGCCCGTCCCGCAACCGCCCCTCGCCCGACCCGAACATCGAGGTTCGGGGCGCCAGCGGAGAGGGACGGGAGCCCCCCCCCGGTTTCGATCGCCGCGCCTGGAGGGCTCCAGACCGCCGCCCTGGCCCCCGCCGTGCGGGCGCGGGGCGGCACCCGCCACGGCCAGCGTCGCGCAGGGCCTGGGCGGGGCGCCGAAGAAGGAGAGGCTCGTGAGCTGGTTGCCCGAGAGGTTCAGCTCGTCCAGCTTGTTCTGAGCTCGCAGCTGGTCGGCGGTGACGTCGGCAATCTGGTTGTTGCTGACTCTGAGCACCTGCAGTGCGCTCAGGCCAGTGAGCCCGGCGAGGGTGCTGAGGCGGTTGCTGCAGAGATGCAGCTCCTTCAGCCTCGCCAGCTTCGCCAGGCCCTTGCCAATGGCCTGTATCCTGTTGTTGTCCAGATTCAGATGCTCCAAAGAGACCAGTGCATCCAGGCCTTCTATAGACACAATACGGTTGTCCTCCAAATATAAAGCAGATAAATTTCGGCATGGCTCAAGGCTGCTTATCCGCGATATCTGGCACCCATACAACTTGAGCTCCTTCAGCCTGTTCATGCCGTCCAGACCTGATATCTCCGCAATGTTGTTAGAAGATAGATTCAGCGTGCGAAGATTCGGTGCGTACTGCTCAAGGCCGGATATCTCCTGAATGAACTTGAAATGGAAGTTCAAGTCGACGACCTTCCCGGCCTCGCTGCCCTCGACGCAGTCCTTGACAATGTCCTCGATCTTCGTTGCGGCACCGCCCAGCCAGCGGTTCCCCTCACGGATCTGCTTGAGAGCATAGCTGTTGCCTCCTAGAGCGACGTGCTGCAACGTGGCGTTCCCAATCGGATTGCCGCCGCCACCCTCCGCATCGTCGAAAACACAAAGAGCCATGGCGCCCCCCGCGCTTTGGCACGATGCCTGCAGCAACGGTCGAGCGGGCAACAACTGACAACAGTACCATTCGGCCCAGATGGCCTCAGACAATTCGGGCAGTGGGAGGCGACAGTGACGCCCATACTTCTGATGACACTGGAAATGCACACAAGGCTATGAGGCTATTACACTCCTGCTGATGCTCAGACGAACAGAACAAACCGCCTGTGGAAACTCAAACGGGTAGCCCCCTTCTCACATGTCGGGGCCAGCGCTTTCCTCCGGGGCCCCCCCAAAAGGGCAGCCAAAGGAAGAGGCTTATAGGCAAGGGAGAGGACGAGAAGAGGAGGACGAGGCGCGGGAGGAAGAGAGGACATCTGGCATATGAACCATGAAACTGGCAATGAATCACACAGATTTCACCCCAGAGACCACATGCTAGCTGTTTCTGAGGCTTTGCACTGTGACGATAACTTACTGCCCAGGAGGACTCCGAGGACTTGAAGCTAGTCTTCGGCATGAGTTTGTGCTGCTAATCCCGCTCGCGCCGGTCAGCCCCTGCCCAGAAGTGTGCCGCGGATAACCAATCCTACAGGATCGGTCGGTCTTCGTGGCAAGACCCAGCCCGCCTTCT